GTGAAACCACTGAGGACAAGTCAGCCTTTCGGGTTGCAACAGCAAGAGGTTTATTTGATGCACAGGTACCTGTGGGCACAGAGTCTCCTCGGAGGACTTGCGCGCCCCAGGTTGGGGTTTGGCAGTTTTTATAGAGCAGAAGCAGGGTACAGAAGCAGAAGAGCAGTTATTCGTTAATTCAAAAACACAGAGTCATTTCAAAAACACACAAAGATATGGGGTAAGGGTCGGGGCTAAAGGGAAATGGGATTACTGGTATCGAAAACACACAGAGATATGGGGTAAGGGTCGGGGCTAAGGGGAAATGGGATTACTGGTATCGGGCCCTAAGGGTGGTCCTTCCGCCCGTAAGATTTGTTTACAGCTTGATCCTTGAAGCTTGACCAGCGGTGCCTGCCTGTTTTGCAGCTTTTAGATAAGGCTGGTTCTGGCTTCTAGCTGACAATGGGCTTGTGGAGCTTTTAGATAAGGCTGGTTCTGGCTTCTGGCTGACAATGGGCTTGTGGCGCCTAGTTTCCTCAAAGGCAAAGTAACTAAGATCAGACATTTAACCTTGAAACTGATTGATTTTCTAGCCTTTGAAGTTTAAAGTGGCTGCTTTATACAAAATGAAGAAAATGAAGTTACTTTGGCTATTACAATTTAGGAGACTCCGTTGGGGGCCATTATACCACCACATGAAGGAGTACTATACAAGTATACATCACCACTTTCACATTCAGTATAGGAGGATCACAATATACTTTATGTGTGTGTGTGTGTGTGTGTGTGTGTGTGTGTGTGTGTGTGAATGCTTGTGTGTGATAAGGCACATATGCCATGGTGTGCATGTAGGGTCAGAAACTAATGGCAACCAAAGATCAAAGACTAAAATCTTTCCATAGGCCATGATGAAAGTAAAGATGGTTCCCCTTTATTTTCTTCCTCTTCTAGGAAAAGTAGACCTGCAGAATAGGGAAGAAGGTAGCAGAACCCAGCCTTCTATGCTTCTACCTCACAAACCAAAGCTGTGTGTGGTTTTCTCTGAATAGTATAACAACTCTTAATTGCATCAAACTATAGTATACTATTTAATAATGTTATTTTTCTTCATAAAGTTTCTGGGAAGAGTTATTAAAAGAATTTAAGGGCTTTCCCCCAATCACTGGCCTGAGAAGGGCATCTCAAGAGAATGATTTAATCACAATTTCTTTAAAAATGAGAAAGACATATTTCTCTTTAAATATTTCTTTTAGTAGGTGTTTTGCATTTTTTTCTTCTCTGGTGTTTGCAGAAATGTAATATAAAGTGGATTATCTTTACATTAGTGAAGAGAAGAAAAAGAAACCTTTCTCAGAGCCACTATGGTAAAAAGCGTTAGTGACAAGAGCAGTCATTTTTTGTTTCTATGTAATAGAGTATCTGACAAGATAGGAGAGTAGATACACGGTTCTGAGCAGAAGTTTGGGAAAAAAGAACATTTCTAGGGCATTCTTTTGCACTTCCCTAGTGACTTTACACAATGGCTTTCAAATGGATGCAATATAGGTAGGAACCCAGCAGTAAGCCTCATTCTTGGTTTGAACTACCACAATGCAATTTGTAAAGTTATTTTGAAATACTCATGTCCTAGATCTAAATTACATCTGTCCCTACTACTTTGTCTTTCTAGAATTAGAGTGATGCCATTTTGGAGGATTGTTGCAAACACTGTGTAGTTATCTAAGACCTACATTTTTTTGTTGTCATTTTCTTCTTGTTGACTACATTAGATAAATTCATTCTCTGATATAATTTATATTATTTTGTTTCTTGTCTGGCTGGGAAGATTTCTTCACCTTGTGCCTGAATTGACCTTCTCTGAATAATACATCAACAAAACAAAGTGAATTGCTGACACAATTACTGTGTCACAGCATTGAATAGTTACTTGGAATTGAAAACAGGAAGCAAGAGAGTCTGCTTTCCATAATTTAACTGTAGAGTTCAAGGCATTGCAAATAGCCTGTGCAAATTAAATCTTTCTACTTGGAGGTAAGAGACTATTTATCATAACCACATCAACTAGCAAGAGAGAGCAAGAATATCATAGAAACCATAAAGAACCAATTTTGAATTTCACAGCCTTTAATTATTTGGAATCCCTAATATCAAATGAGAAGACAGCATGTGTTTTCTTCATTAGTGAGGTTCAATCACAAGTGACAGGATGGCTAAGTTGAAGGAATGAGTCACCAACACTGCAAAAGAACCAATTTCCATTTGCTAATGTGTTGTTAGGAAAGTCCAGTGTCCATCCCGACTGCTGTCATATGCACAGCCAGTTGTCAGGGTGAATTAGCAGGGCCATTTTTCTTTGCTCCTATGAACTGTTTATAGCTTATAAAGAAGGAGACAGCATTTAGATAGATCATGTTTTAAGGGAAATAGGGATGTTTGCAGAGCCAAAAGATTAGAATGTATGTTTTTCTTCCCTTTCTAACACTAAAATAAGAAAATGATATTAGCTATAAAAATCATACATGTACTGTAATAAAATAAATACAAATTTACTATAAAATAGAACATGAATAAAAATACAAACAGTAAAACCATGGAAAAATCCTTTATTACTGCCAATTCTAGGTGGATTTAATTTCCTCATTGAAATTAGGTTATCAGTTTCTAGTAACATCATTTTTCTTCTGCTTTTTTCTTAATCTTTCTTGTTAACACAAATTTTTATCAATATTTTTTGGTAAACCTTAGCATCACTATGGTCTCTGTGGACACAAAAGCATAACTCTCACCTCAAAGGGGATAAGAGTTTATTCTGAAGCAAAATATGAGTGACCATGGTCTGGGAACATAGATTCAGGTTACCTCAAATTCCATGTTCTGGTGTGGTAAGTTACATTACATTTTTACAGTAACAGAACAAAGAAAAGTCATAAATTAAGACACCGTTCAAATACATTGGAGGATACACTCGGTAGGCAGGCTGTAGCAAAGAGAGGGGGTTTCTACTATAGGTCCCAGATGTTATCTGATGACAGTCTTAGCTTTTTGATTGGTGAGACCTGATGGTCTGCTAAGTTAATACATTTTATTAGTCATAAGAATGTTAATTCTAGCCAGCCAGGCATAGTGGCACACACCTTTAATCACAGCACTCTGGAGGCAGGCTCAGGCAGATCTCTACCTATATAGCTATTTCCAGGCCAGCTGTGGTTACAGGAGACCCTTTCTCAAAAAGACAAAAAAGAAAGAAAGAAAAAGAAAGAAAGAAAGAAAGAGGGAAGGAAGGAAGGAAGAAAGAAAGAAAGAAAGAAAGAAAGAAAGAAAGAAAGAAAGAAGAATGTTAATTTAGAAATAGAAGTGGGCAATCTCTGGCTGTTTATGGGGTTAAAGATGTCCCTAGATAATCTGTGAATAGGCTCTAGATCTGCAGCATTCCAGACTTTCCTCAATCCCCAGAGTACTACTCAGATGGTG